ACGCTGCCCAGAGTCACTTTGTGTGAGATGGGTGGCTATATAAATATGATTGATAAATAAAATAAATAAATAAATGCATTTTCATCAATTTTCTAAATTCAGAGAGAATGAGAGGCAAACACAACTCTTTGAGAGAATGCTATTCATAGTTTGGGAGCAATGCAAGAGAAGGCTGCCTGCTCTGTGCCAGGTGAGCAGCCTTCTGACAACAGGGGCATCTTCCAAATGGCCTGTCCTGCAGACCTTAAATCCAGACAAGGTTTGATGGGAGGTGAGGCAATCCTTCTGATAGTCTGGTCCTAAGCATTTTAGGAATATTTAAAGTGATATCAAAACTTTATATTGTGCCCACTAATGCAGAACTTTCAGTATCAGCATCATGTGATCTCTGTATTATGCTGCACTTTGCCTCCATTGTAATTTCCAAACATGTTTTGAAGATAGCTCCATATAAAGTATGTTTCAGTTATTGAAATGTCATGTAAGAAGACAAGGCATGGTTAACTGTTGCCAAGGAACAGAAAGATACTAAATTATTTCCTGCTGAAAGCACCATTGTATTTTTTGTTGGTGTATTAATTTTGGTTAATGTTTCTCCTTAGGTTTCTGATCGGAAGAGAAAAACCAGGAACTCAGAGTGAAGTAGCTCGCCTTATCAGTGAGACATTGGAACAGGAGAGATACTTATATGAGCAACAATATGCCCATGAAACAGAACAGGTAACAATTAAGATGATGTATATATACATACCTACCCACAAGTTGGGTGTAGGTATGTATATACACTAGCTTTTTCCTGTAGGTACCATAAAGTGTAAAGAGTTGTACTAGAAACCTTGGAGAGCAGGGAGTAACAGAAAATGTTCTCTAGGCTGTTATTTGACAATTAGCAGTCATTCATGAGCTCTTATCTAGGGTGATGTGGGTTGAGGAAGAAATAAGGTTGGGGAGAGGGAGGAGGAAAAAAAATATTTTCCCAACAGCAATTTATGGATTGCAAAAATTTGACAAAGATATTACATAGCAAGTCAGACAATTTTTTTTTAGTTATAAGGGACAGAGGTCCTCAAGAAAGACTAGGCACATGAGTGGAAAGTTGTGTCTTCATTGCATCCCACATTATTACTTCCTTCTGTCTCATTCATACACTAACAAAGTCATTCCCAGTTCTTCCTGTGGATTATTCCAGTTTGTTCTCCTTTTCTTTTTATTTTGCTCATTAAGCTGCATTTTTTCTCCTTGTCTCCATTTTTCTTTTTACTATGGGAATGTTCCAGGTTCCTTTTTTTAAATCTTGTTATCTTATGGGACCAAGGAGGCTTGACTTTTCTGTGGTTGCCCCTGTTCTCTGGAATGACCCCAGCCCACCCCAAGATATCTGACAGGCCCCAACTTTTCTCATGTTTAGGAAAGCTGTTAAGACCTGGCTCTTCCCCCAGGCATTAGGGGCCAGTTGAGTGGGAGTCCCCTGTGATTGTTTTATTATGTCCTTGGTTGCCATTTTATATTTGGTATTTATATATTGTATTGTTGATTGTTACATGTTTTTTTCTTTGATATATTGTTTGTTTTTACGCTGTATGCCTCCCAGGGTCACACTGGTTGATTTGGGTGGCCTTATAAATCTTATAAATAAATACTATATCCTTTTTCCTCATTTACCTTCCTCCATTTGTTGCTATCCTCTGTATGTCAGATTTTCCTTCTCATGTCTCTCCTACCTATATATATATAACCTAGAGCAAATGTAGTCATTCAGTTTGAGTAGTTAAATAGGTTTCATCCAGTGAGTGATTTTGCAAATTTGGTCCCATTTCTATATTTGCCTTCTGTTCTTCCTTCCCCATGCTCAGTTTTGTTATTTAATCAAGGAGGGTTGCTTCTTCATTTTTTAAAGATTACTTTAGGCATCCATAAAATCCTTTTGAAAGGAATTATTGCGAGCAGAAGTTCACGCTGTAAGACAAGGGGTGAGAAACCTGTGACCACCCATATCAACAGCAAATCCCAGCGCTTCCATCTTCAGCTGTATTGACTCCTGCTGTAAAATATGAATTGCTAGCGGCCTCATTTGGATGAAAACAGTAAGCCATACATCTTGGCTTAGTAAAGCATCGGGCATACCTAGCTGAGCTGTTTCATTTTACATTATTCTTATAGATGCTGGTCTTTAATAAATGGAAGCCGGTGTTTACTTAAGTTTGTATTAACAGATGCAGTGCCCCTGATGAAAACCACATTGGACCATAAATTAAATACTGTTGTTGTTGTTTTTTTAAAAAAAGCAAGTCAGGTGTATATTTTCTCCATTTTATTTGTTTTTCTCATGATACTCTTCCTTCCCCTTTGTTTTCCTGAATTGTAAAGCCCCTTGCTCAAAAAGAGGGACAAAGTGAGAACAGTTGGGCCACATGGACTAGCAGTCTTCTTGCGCAAAATATAATTTCAGCCAAATTTAATGTTCAGGTTCAAAGTTTATTTTGGTCAAAGACCAGTATAACCAAATTTGATGGTTTGCAGTGTCATATGAAGCAACAACTAAACCAGTAACAAATAACCTATTAAGCATTTATTGAAGAAAAAAGGTAAAGATTTTAAGCTTCACATTTTCATACAAAATTTAAAAAATTATAGCATGTTATATATAATACCATTATATGTTTATTGTTTTATTAAATCCTTTTTAAGACATTTTTATTTTGCTTTAATGAAATGTTGTTTAATATTGTTTTAGGATGAAGATTATGATGAAGATGATGTTTCTTTTGAATCACACTTGCAAGAAAAATCAGTAGAAGTATTTTATCTTCCTGAAAATGAGGATATTAATTTCCCATTAGACATGGATTCTACACAGTTCATGCTGAAGTTTAAAGAGGTACAGTGCAATTTTGTTAGCTCTTAAAATGGACCAGAAAAAGTTTACTGTGAATTAGCTATGGTATGTTAGAGAATCCAATGTTACAATTTAACTTTTCTTTTTGAAAAGAACTACTTTTTTAACTATAGTTTTTACAGTTTAACAAAATTCTGTTGGAAATATCTTTCCTTTTAATTATAGGACTGTTGTCATTCAATGTTACGGTAAAATATTTAACTAAAAATCTAAAAACTTAGATTGGAATCCAGAAACCCTTGGAATCCATGCTGGCATCAGGAGCTACGCTGTTTGTCCATATGCATGGCATGTTTGTTTGTTTCCAGCTGCACTAGAACAGCTCTCAGGGCTCTTCCAAAAGTTTTTCTGAATGTTATAGCAGCATATTCAGGGGCCTCAAAAGCTTACTGGATGAGCTTTTTCCATACTTCAGGCATTATCAACTTTTTAATATCAAAACAAGGAGTTTTGAAATTTGTTTTGTGAAAGAACCTTGATTTAGCTTTGCCACGTTGAATTGCTGAGTTTTCAGAATATATTTGTCAGATTTGATGGGGTGTTTTTAAAGTATAAGCTTGAATCTACAATGTTTGGAAAAGGAGTAGGCCACCATGTTTTCAGCCTGATTTAAGTCCCTGGGAGCTGCATGCAGACTAAGAGAATAAAGTAGAATAAAGTAGGGGGGGGGTTGTGTAAGATGTACTTCAAGAGCATGGGACAGTCAGTCAGCCAATTCTTGAGGTAAGAGTAGGTATTGTAATGGAATGGCTGCTGGGCTTTCAGAAGATTGAGGGTCAGGCAAGTGTTACCTGTCCCTTGGTCTGGGCTGATCTCCAAGAGAGGGGCGTTGATCTGCCCCATAGTCTCTCTATTCCTGTTAAATGCCAGGTTGGTGGTAAATCAGACACACCTCCTGAGTGCTTTGATTTGAGATAGAATGTTCAATATGGTGGGTGCTATGGAGACTTGGTTGAGGGAGATGAATAAAGTCATCTCAGATTCTCCCACCAATTTTCAGTGTTCAGGAGCAAACAAGCAAAGGGGACTGTGTGTTAGTGTGTGCATCATCATTGCAAGAGATTCTGTTTCCTCTTACTAGGCCTAAAGTACATGAGAGTAAGGATTCCAAATGAGTCTCTTTTGGGAGAGCAAAACAGTTTCAGAATTCTGTTGGTGTACCATGCACCATGCTGCCCTGGAATCTTACTGCCTGAACTAGTGGATCTGAACTTGAGGAGATATTGAGGGTCCCCAAGCTTTTGCCATTGGAGGACTTTAATATTCATGGCAACATCTCTTTATCCAAAGCAGTTCAAGAGTTTATGGGCCTGTCTCAAATTACAACTGCCCCACTAATCAAGCAGAACATATCCTCAACTTAGCTTTCTGCATATTAATTGTGATCCATGGTTGGCAAGCCAGACGTTTCATAAATGCATCACCACTTGCAGTGGTCGCAGTGGTTGGTTCCATCCCTCTTCTCCAAGAACTTTAATGTTCTTATTGCCACTGTATAGGCTTGAACATGGATTCATACCTTTTCTTGGTCATATTCAGTTTTAGTTTTTCACCACTTTCACTCTAGGAATCACTTATTCACTTCATTTCCTAAAAATTCTTGGTAAACTAAGGATCCCTCAGGTTTAGTGATTGGAGATAAGCCTCAACGATGAATATTATCCAGCAGTGTGTTCTTATATGAAAGGTTGACCAGGCATGAAATACAATTGCTCATGCTCAGAAAATCTTCAGGATCTATCAGGCACTAGGGCAAACCATCCTAATAGATGTACTGCTCCTATAGAGGTCCAGGATGTCCATGACCACAGCGAAGGACTAATGTCCTCCATATTCAGATTGTATGTTATCTGATCCAAGGTAAAAGCCATGGTTAATATGTACCCATTTATGTAAGTCATTGCTAAGATCACCTAGAACAAGTTCATGTTGCCATGTAGGCATGAAGTCCTGACACGCATACCCAAGATTCTAACTCCAGGGCATGGAGATTGAGATCTCCAAGCACTAAAAGCTTGAATGACTCCAATATTAGCAGCCCTAATTTGTCCCTACATCCCAACCTCATATATGGGCACTCTCATCCATCGATCTCTGGAGTAGTGCTACTATTAGCTGGTAATTTCCCTTGAATGATCTCAGCCTGGCTTGTTGTGGCATTGTGGCTGCTGTAAAACCTGAAACCCAGAAGGGCAAATTTCCATGAGGGCTATGTCCCTGTCATCACTCAACCAATTTCTGTAATACATGCTGAGTCTGTACATTGATCCACTACAAGATCATGGATGGACTAGAAGATAGAATCTGCACTGATGTGTGGACTCCCTTCTCCTGTAACATCTAGCCCAGTGCCCCCTGCCATACCTTTGCCAATCATTTTTAAAGTGTATACCCCAACTTTGCCAACCCCCACTAAAGTACCTAGTCCCCTCTTCCCCAACAATTTATTTGTATATTTAGTTACTTCCGGACTCTGAGTTAACTCCCAATACTTTACAAGCATAAGCAACGAAAAGTAATAGAAAAAGCATGAAATCAAAACATTTTTGCTTTATTTAATAAACCAGAACAGAGAGGAAAAAATGAAAGACATTATTATTAATCATATTTATATAGCCACCAAGACATCTTCTCATGCTTAGCAGGCCTGATTCTTTCTCCAAAAC